CAGATTTGATCATTTGGCGGGGGGGGGGGGGGGGGGGAAAAAATAAAATTTAAAAGATGATGAAAAATTTAAAGCTTAAAAGGTCTTTGGCAAACTGCTCGCAAATAAATGGAACGCGTGAAATAATTTAACGGCAGAAAACTCTTCAGGGCTCCGGGGTCTGTGGCGCAATGGAAAATGAAACACGTCGGAGGAGATGTAGCCTGGGATTTTTGCAGGAGAAGGGTTGAACTCGCTCCCTCTTGGCACGGCCCCCAGAGAAGCCCCATATTTGCACCCCAAAGCCAAGTGGCAGAGCTGGAGCCAGCAAACCCCGTCCCAGGGCGTAGCGGTGCACGCGGGGGGTTTTGCAGCATCATCCAAGGAGAAACAGACTTGCAGTCGGCTGAGGTGACGATCCCGGGTCACGGGGATGGCGGTGGGTGAACACCGTGCTCCGGGATGAGCATTTTGCAAAGAAACCCTCCAAACTGGGTGTCCAGAGGGGAGCTGCCCGCAGTGGGAGACTGAGCATGGGTGGCGATGGAGCCCACCGCCGAAAGCCATCCTGAGGGATGAGCTGCCCTGCCGGAGCATCCCTGCCCGGGGACATCGCAGTCCCTGGGGCTCAGGCATGTGAGCGGCTGGGATTTTAAATGCTGGTTAGGTCTGGATCACAGCTGCACAGAGGTCGTTCATCGCTCGCTAATGGAGGTCGTAAGTCAAAGCCAAAGCCTCGGTGGAAATCTAGTGAAAATTACCTCTTTACAGCACTCAGCGGCTGCTGCGCGGGAGGCTGGGGGCCCTGCCAGCGTGGGGCCCCCCTTGGCAAGCCCAGCGCCCAGGCTTCGGCAGCTGAAACCCGCCGAGTCCTTCCTCTGGAAAACTAATGGAAGCACAGAGGGAAAAGGCAAGAGCTGGCAAAGTGGGCTTGGTCGGTGCTCAGCTGAACCAGCGCGGCTCTGACCCAGTGGTGCTGGGGCCGCTGCCTTTGCAAATGGGGCAGGACCAGTTGCTGCCCAGTTTCTGGTGGCAAGGCAGCTCACTGGCACGGCGCGGTCCAGGCTTGCCAGCGTCGGTGCTCCTGCATGGAGAAGGGTTTGGGGGTGACTCCCAGCACCCCATGGCATCCATAGGGCAGAGCGCTGCCCCCCGGGCTGCCCGCAGCTCTGAGGCAGGCAGCATTGCCCGAGGGTGGGCATCGCGGAGAGGAGGCTGGAGGTTACCCAGGCCACATCCAGCACCCCAAAACTCATCCACATCATGGGCAAAAAGACTTGTGTCTTTTCTAACACACTGGGCAATTAAAGGCTCTTTTTGTGAAGCACCCCGGGCCCATCCTGCTCTGTGCAAAGCCCCTGTGCCTCCCTTTCCCCATCCTCCCCGCCATGTCATCTTTCGTTATTTGGTAACGTTATCCCCCCTGTTTTCCCCCTTCCCCTGCATTTTTTTCCCCTTTAGCGGAAATTGTAATCAGTGGAAGATAAATACACTGACAGCGAGGGTGCCTGGGGGGGTGGCTCAGGGGCCCCCTCTGACCTCGGGGTGGGACAATCAAGCCGATGCCCCCAGCTGTGTCCCAAACGAACCCCCAAATTATAACTGACAAAGGCAAAGGTTCAGCTTTCTCCATAACCTCCCCGAGCACGGCTTTGCAGCAAAAGAAAGACGGCGGTGAGCTGGTTTTTAACTTTGTGCAATTACAAACTGTTATTGCTGGAAGCCCATCGGGGCAGGGAATTTCCAATTCCTCTATCAAGGTGTCAGTGAATCTGGTTAAATCCGATTCCCACGGCTGGGTGGCAGCGAGATGGCAAGGGGTCTGCAGGGGACCCAACCCACCCCCTTCCCCATTCCTTTTCCAATGCTGCAGAGTGCTTAGCGATGCTCATTTTTGGAAAGCCGATTTGGGGTTATTAAAGCATCTTTGATAGAAGCAATCCGGCCTGACTTTGCACGCTGTAAACCTGTCAGATGCACGCCGCCAGCAATTAGGGTGGCATTTATCTGGTCCCACAAGCCTGCGATGCCTGAGCTAATGGGGAAAAGATGTTTATCCGTTACCAAGTCTCATCCTTGAGCGGAGCAGAAAACCCAGGCAGGCGCCCTGGGCATGGAGCTGCCTCCCTGCGGTACGGAGATGGCGGGGGAAAATGAATGTAGCAGAGAACTGAGCTGGAAAGCAAAGGTTTCTGTGGCGGATTGGGGAGCTCTGAGCTACACCGAGGCGCAGCATGTTTTAGGGGAAGTGTGAGTAGGTGGGGAAGGGGTTTTGGCCACCAGCATCCTCCGAGAAGCTCCCTGGTGCATCCCACAGGGTTTTCTGGTGCAGGAGAAGGTCCCTCCATTCCAACCAGCAATAGGGGCTAAACAAAATGCCCAACGCAGACATGGCCCAGGGCTTGCAGCTCTCCAACCACCCAGGAACCGCCAGCGCCTGGACGCATCCTGACCCAACTCCAGTCTTAAATCTCCATCCCAGCACGCCTGCCAGCCCTTACGGGAATCACTCAGCACTGCCCAGCTCCCGTGGCTGTTTAGCTCTTGCCTCCATGGGTTTGGGGAGATAAAAAACAGCCTGAAATTGGGCCAGATCCTACAGAGCTGGTTTGAGAGTTAATTTAGGAAACCTTTCCTCCTCCTCCTTGCTTTCAGCCAAATTAGAGTGGGTGAGAGAAGCCTTCACTTACGGAAAAGTCCTATAGCCAGATTTTAAATTGGGGACAAAACCAAAGGGGGTTTATAAATTTTATTTATACATTTACTAGGGCTCTGTTGAAATCATTGCCTGTTCGGTGGGGGGCAGTGGGTGCCCTTGGTGACGGCACTTTTTGAACCAAGCCCTGGTCTATAATTTCCCCAGAAGCCCTATGGGGTGGCCATAAACCTGCAAGGAAGCATCTCTCGTCCCGTTACATCCTGTAGCTCCTTCCCAGCCCGATGGTTCCTGTTTCGGTCCCAGGCTCCCAGAAAGCTCAGGGACAACCATGACTGGACTTCATGTATTTTAATCCAGCGGCTCATTAGCTTGCTGAAGGAAAACAGGACCAAAAAAGGAGTTTAACTAAAAGGGGCAACTGGAAAGCAGAGACTGGCAGAACATTTGAAGCTGCAGGAACAAGGGCTGGAGGGAATCTAGAGAATTTTATTTGTGAGCCTTTAAACACGCACGGCGGCAAAGGGCAGCCTGCAGTTTCCTGGCCGGGGAAAGGGCCTCAAACCCACACGTATTTCAGGCACAGCGCCATCCATCGTATCTTTACCCAACCAAGAAGGTCATGTCCCAAATACAAGAGCACGGGCTGTTTCCAGCCCAAGGGATGGTCAACCAAGGTCCAAATGCACCTAGAACACAATAAAAGACCCAGAGATACGTCGGCGGCTGCAGCGAGATGGGGAAGGGGGCTGGTGGTGGTGCCCAGGTCCCACCTCTGCATCCCTGCATCTCCTCCCAGCCCAACGCTTCATCCCGTAATGGGTCAGGGTGTTGGAGGCACGCAGTGCTCCCAGGCCCTGACACTGGTCCACGCTATAGCAAAGTGCCAGAGAAGCCACCTGCTCTTTCTGGGAGGCCACTGCCAGCAATGGAAATAAATTTAACCCTTCCTCCCCTGCCACATCCCCTTGCATGGCTCGCGTTTGGCACCGGGATGCTGTTGGTGGCATCAGCCAGCAGCATGGTTTTTGGAGAAGGGTGCAAGGAAACTCTGCAGTAGCTCTAAGTTTGGACCCTGCTTTGGGCAGAAGGTGATTAGTCCCAGGGACAAGCTGCCAGCAGATATTGGAGTTTCTCTGGTCCTCATGGCTCATCTCAGGATGGGACAGCCCTTGAGAGTGGTATACTTGGGCACAAAGGGACCTTAGAGACTTGATAAAGAACATGTTGGAGGTTTCATGGCTTGAATTATTCAGAATTAAGGTCCAAGAAGGTTTTTCTGGCCTTAAAGATCTCGGAACCCATAGTTTCCTCCTGCTCAACAGCTTGGTGGTGTCTTGAAGCGGGGGAGTTAATGTTCCTTCCAGTAGATTTTGTTACTTGCTCAAGTATGATCTGAAAATGCTGCACATCTATTTAATAAGTATCAAGATAGCTTATTAACAAGTATTTATTTCTTGAGCATATTCAGGGAGCAGTAATTCCTGCCATCATGGCCTCTGCAATGATATAGAGCAGAAAACTCCAATATAACCCTGCTATGAATCAGAATGTCATAAAACTATTAACATTTCAAATAATTCCAAAATACTTTCCCACCAGTAGGTACAGATTGGATCCAGATGCTTTATTAACAGAAAGAATAATTAACCAGTACCTCCATAAGGAAGAACGACAGTGAGACGTGTTCCCCATGAAGCCTTTGCAGGCAGCTGACTGGGTATCTCAGAAAAAGACTTCATAAACTTGCCTAAACCTGATGATATTAGTGACAAAGAAGAAATTAATCTCAGCCTGGCTGAAAGCCCAAGATCAATACTGAGAAACCAAACTACACCCTCAACTTCATGTTTCCATAAGCCAGCAAAGCCAGAAATAAACGCTGTGGAGGCTGAGCTCTGCAAGACATGGAGGCATTTGTTCCTAGCTCTGAAGACCAGGGTTGGATGAGCAGATGCTCGGCTGCAGTCCTGTGTCATCCTGGGGACATACCACAGCTGGGGACTTCAGGGGGTGCTGGAGGTGGGAGCTGAGACCCACATCTCAGAGAAGTTTTGGTGCTGAATTTCCATTGCCGTCCATGAAAGCCTGACCTAAAACCTTAGCAAGAGCCAAGCCCAAGAGACCCTGTGGACGTGTCGCCGTTGGGGGGGGGGGGGGGGGGGGGGGGGGGCCCCCGCAGGTTGGGGGCAAGGGGAGACGCAGTCCCAGCAGTTTGAGTCAAGTGGTGCCCCAGAATCCACTGAGACTGGTATTCAAAATCAGGTCTGGGTGGGTTTAGCTGGACATGAAACCACCACAGGTCTTTGCAAATGTTAGGTTTAACCCTAAGCTCCAGTAGGTCCTAAAATAGGTTTTGATTCTCATGGAGACCACAAGGTTGCAGATATGCTGCTCCCCGCAGAGTCCCAGGCACCCGCAGGGAGCAGGGCTGCTACAGAGCAGGGCAGTGCAGATGCCCAGGAGGGCTCGAGCCCGGCCGGGTCCCCATATGGGGTCTGTGGGGTCTCACATGGGTCCGGCTCTCACGCGGCCTCTTTTATGCTCTCCCCACAGGCGAGAGCCTGAGCCCAAGCCGCGGGGTGGCCAAGAGGAAGAAGAAACAGAGGAGGAACCGCACCACCTTCAACAGCAGCCAGCTGCAGGCTCTGGAGAGGGTCTTTGAGAGGACGCACTACCCTGATGCCTTTGTGCGGGAGGAGCTGGCGAGAAGAGTCAACCTTAGCGAGGCGAGAGTCCAGGTGAGCAAAGGTTTGTGTGGGAGAAAACAACACCCTCTGCCTTGTCCCCAGGCGGGAGCAGGGACTGTCCCCTCTCTCGTTTCATCCTGCACGTGACCATGATCTGTAGGACGGATGCTTGGGACATCCCTGCTCGCACCGGGTCCCCGCTGACCACCTTCCCTCCCCACACAGGTCTGGTTTCAGAACCGAAGGGCCAAGTTTCGCCGTAACGAGAGGGCAATGCTGGCCAACAGATCGGCATCGCTCCTCAAATCCTACAGCCAAGAAGCAGCCATTGAGCAGCCCATGGCGCCGCGGCCCACCGCACTGACCCCAGAGTATCTCTCCTGGACCAGCACCTCCCCGTACAGGTAGGTGCAGGCACTGGAGGAGCTGGGGAGGAGGTGGCCATGGGACAGGCTGCCTAGGGACCGCCCCACCGCTGCAGGAGTGCAGCCCTGTGCCGCTACTGAGGACATGGGGAGTTTTATGGGGCCAAAAGGAGCTCATCCGGCTTTGCTTTGGGAACCCGTTTCAGCCCCATCCGAGCACCCCCCGCCCGCCGCTGAGCAGGTTTCCCTGCCTCCATGCATTTTGGGGCTGGAGCTGGTGGCCCTGGTCCTCGCAAGGGATTTGCTTGGCCTCGTGCTGACCCTTCCCACATCTCGACACAGGAGGTGGCATGGGTCCCTTCTGGTTCCCAGCTCTCTGCATCCAGCCATTTCATCCAAAAGCTCAAGGCAGGGCCTCCTGGTGCATATTTGAGGGGTTCCCACATGCATCCAGCCACACAAAAATGCTGAAGCCTTGGCTGCTCTTGTGGGAGATGTCTAAGAGGGAACAACCAGTCTGGCCTGGGAAGCCAGCAGGACCACGTGGGGCACAGGGACTCCTCCACGGGCCATGCCTCATTCCTTCCCTGCTCCCTCCCCGCAGCACTGTGCCGTCCTACAGCTCCAGCGGGACCGCGACACCCACCCAAGGGGTGAACATGGCCAACAGCATCGCCAGCCTGCGCCTCAAAGCCAAAGAGTTCAGCCTCCATCAGAACCAGGTGCCAACCGTGAACTGACCAGGGCAAAGCCCACCCCGTGGCCTCATCCAGGATACAGCGTGGAGCTCCTGTGCCGGTCCAGGACAAACTTGCCGCCTGCCCAACCCACATGCCACTCGTCAAACGTCTCAGCACCTCTCCTCTCCTCTTCCCTTTTGAAGGTAGAGTCAGTCCCAGGCCAAAGTGGCACATAATTATAGCCACATATGGAGCAAACTTGGTTAGAAACTTGCTTTTCCGCACACCCTTATAATAAAGGCTATATATACACACATACCCCCCACGCGCTCTTCGAGGACAAACAGACTTGCCAAGGGAACAAGAATTTGCTTCCAAACATGGAAGGATCTTGGACTATTGGATTTGACCAATTTGGGTATCTTGCCCAGAGAGCCAAAGAGTTATTGGGTCTTCTCCTCCCGCAGGGACAGCATGCGGCGGTGGGAGGATCACGAGCCCCCCTTTCCACCGGGCTGCGACTTGCGGTGCTCAATCGCGCGTGCCGAAGCTGACCCGCGTGTTCGCTTCTTTGTGCATCCCCAGTCGCGGTGCTTGGGAGAGACTTTGGGAAGCCGACGGCTCGCCCCTGCCACGGCTGGTCCCGGCCAGCCCCCTGCGCCGCGCTGCCTGCCTTTAGGAGCTGCCTGTGTCGATGGCATCAGGCTTGGTTCCTTCCCAGAGGGGCGAGGAGGGCTGGAGCATCTGGACAGGCTTACTCAGAGCCTGTGAGCTCTCCTGCGAGCTTTGGGGAGCATTGCTGGTCCCCAAGCAGGCACTGCTGCCCTGCCTCGGCGGGGTTGCCAGCGATTCTGCAGAGCCCCAGGTCACTGAACCGTCCCAGGG